GGGTTTGAGTTTGGGGGTAATTGCCGTAAATGTTTAGGAATTTTGGGCCAAAAAGGAGCCAAAAAATAAGCATTTTTCTAGTTTCCAGACAATAACTTTTGTTCAAGTGTATTGATCTCCCTGAAATTGTACAGTAATCATACATGTGAACCTCCTGAAGGGAATACAATAATCCCGTTTTCAGGGGTCTCCTCCCGACCTCCCGTTGAAGACAAAAAAAATCCTGTGTATGAAATATTTCATGAATGAAAAATTTCAGCCCAACATATCTGGTGTAACTGACATTACCTGAAGTTATATTTTACCTGTAAATCAATTAACATGATAATTATATGGCTTCACTTGTCACCTTGGGTGTCAAATATACTGGTAATCAACGATTTTTACATCAGGCTAACTGCCGTTGTGTAATAAAACTTTGTATATTTATAAATGAATGTTGGGTTACTTCCCTTGATTTATCCTGTTTTAAGTTACTTTCCTTTAAATAATGTAAATTTTTAAAAGAATATAAATAAAATATAAATTGAACAAATAATCATAAAAGGATGGTAATTAAATGATTTTAAATGTCTTAGGACAAATAAAAAAATAATAATTTGAAAATTATTTGAGGGTTCTATACTTCCTTTCAAGGCTTAAATTGAAATTTATATATTAACTATGACCCATGTATTCAGTTTGAATGTGTTACTTATCATGCATTAAAAATCTACTTGCATAAAGATTAAAATAAAAGATCTACTTGCAGATAGATAAGCAAATATTCTGATTGCAATGAATAATGGAAAAAAAGATATGACCTAAAAAAATTAAAGAACATACTTAAAAAGAAAAATGTTAGATTGAACAAGTTGAAAGTTTAAAAAGATAGAGAAAATTTATAAGTACAAGGGTACTATAAACATAATACATTCGGATGGAAAGTTGAAGAAAGCACACTTTAACAGACAATTTCTACAGCACACGGTTACATTTACGACAGAATTTATGTCGATTAAAAACCTCCTGATCTGAGTCCTAATCTCCTGACCAAAATTTCCCAAACTCCTGATCTTAGTTTCACAGTCCATCATATGTACTGCAAGGTACCATACCACAAAGGGAAGGCTGGGATTGTGTTTGAGGGTGATGAATCATAAGGGGGTTCAAAAAATTTTGGGGGGAGGGGGATTTTTTTTCCTTTTTTTTTTTTGAAATTTTCCATTTTAAATTGGTTATTTCTGATTTATATATAAAAGCAAATAATAATGATATATGGTTTGAATAGATAAATTAAAAATTTTTAAGTTCTTAGACCACATTCATTCTGTGTCAGAAACCTATGCTGTGTCAAATATTTAATTACAATCCAAATTCAGTGCTGTATCAAGCTTGAATGTTGTGTCCATACTTGCCCCAACTGTTCAGGGTTCGACCTCTGCGGTCGTATCAAGCTGCGCCCCAGCGAAGCATTTTATTGAAGAAAGTGTAAGGGCATCAGATATTTTAGTTGGTTTGTATGTTGTTATGTTACACCACTCGCCCAGGTTTAAGGGGGAGAGTTACAGCTAATGAAAACAAAATAGATTTTTTTTTAGAAATAAGTCTTTTGATAGGCGATATACTGGATCCACACCCTAAATGATAAAAAATCCTATCAGATTTTACCAAATTACTTCAGGGAATGAACTTATAATTTAAATTCAATAGGAACAGCACAGGGTGGTTTTTTTTACCAAAAATATTGATATCTCTAAATGACGCATTTAAAAAAAAGTAATAAAATGTATAAAAATAGCTTTTATATTAAATTCTGAAGTAAGAGGTACTTATTGAAAGTGGACACTGTAAAACAGTGTAATATTTCTTTCAAATTAACACTTATATCAATTAAAAGATACAATTTTATGGCATAATGTTTCTAATGACATCTTCCTTTTAGAAATATAATAATCTTCCTGTTTACTTGCACTGTGGTGATCTCCACAAATAAGGAGCTGGCCTAAAAAAATAAATCATTTTAAAAATTTCAGAACTGAGCACTGTATGTCACCCCCTCTTCTACGATTTCAACTGGATCGATAACCAACATTCAATTAACATTGCAGTCTAGATATATATATATATATATATTATATATATATATATAATTAAATCACTTAGGAATTGTAAGAACAATATGCTCACCAAGATCTTCGTGATCAAGTTATTTATAGAATTATTTGTGAAGCGATGACCTGTTTCTGTCTTCATCTCAGGTTATTCTGAACATGCAATCAGTCCAAAAAGTAAAAACATGTCCAATTATTAGGCTTTTGATTTTACAAATAATTACTTATAGATAGTGATTTTGCATTTTTATGCCCCCGCCACAGTACATACATTTTGAAATTGGTTTCCGTTCTCTAACTTTAGTTTGCCTCAACCAAATATTATGAAACTTATACACAATGCTTTTACCACAAAGCACAGATCACGTTTGAATTTGAGTGGCATCCCTTTTACTGTTCTAAGAGTTATGCCCCTTTACAAATGGAAAAATTGCTGAATTTTTCTCTTCCGTTCATTAACTTAAGTTTGCCTGTACCAAATGTTATTAAACATAATACACAATGCTTATTACCACAAAACTCGAATCCAAATCTGGGTGGTGTCACTTTTATCATTCTTGAATTAAGTCCCTTTATAACATAAATAGACATATATGCAAGAAGGGACATCATGTGTGTCCCATGGACACATTCTACATTTTTAAATGGAAATTATACAAAAAAGGAATGCTTTTAGAAGAGAAAAAAAAACAGTGAAAAATGTTATATTTTAGAAAACACTGGATTGGATTGGGGTTCTGTGATTTATATATATATCTCCTAACTCTTGGAAAAAAGGGGTACTTTCCGACCCTTTAGCTGGTATAGTAATGAGAAAAAAAAAATACTGATCATTTTCTCCAGAAAGCCACTGACTGTATATATATGTTAGGAGCTAGTTGGAACATGCCCTTGGAGGAAATGTTAATTAATTATTTAGTCCTGTAACAATAGATCTGGTTAGATTGCTCCCTAGTGTATTGACTTGATGGTCAGTCTGGTAATGAACCATTGAACCATGACTGATTGAGCACTGGTTTCCCTGTCTCCATTCATTAATCAACTAGAGGCTATAATTAAGTTAGGTGCAGGACTCCATCTGTTTTAGATTTTAGGTCCGGCTGGCACCTGTCATTCCAATGGTGTTATAAATATATTTGTCATTTTGTGCCCTGACATTATACAATTTTGACAGGATTATTCATATTGAAGATTTGAACTATTTCGAAAAATAAATACAAAGTCCATAACGTAATGTATAAGCAATGAAAATAATTAACTTCAAACTTGTACTATTTCTTTTTCTATAGCCTATAGGTCCAAAAAGTGTGTATATGTATAGGGTTTTGTGTTATAAATGAATATACCATACAAGGTTCCTTTGTTTCCATTTTAAAGAAATTAAAATTGTCAGATATAATCTACAGTCATAAAGATATTGGCCGCTAAATTGGAAAAAGTTTTATTTTTAAGTTAAATGCTGATGGGTCCTGTAAAATTGCATTCAATTTTCTAGAGATACATTCTCCTAAGGGTTGATCATATTTTAAATTCAATAAATATAACAAAGCATCAAAGTTGGTAATTATACAGATTATAAGAATCTAACTATTGTATCGTGCTGTTTTGCTGCCCAGGTTTAAGAATAACATCAGTAAAAAATTGAAAGTTTTTTCAATTATATGTTTGACTTTTAACTTTATTTGACATGTTTCTTTAAAGAAATGAAAGAAAAATAAACTTACGGTTTGTTAAGTTAATGCTATTGAAAAACATGTCAGTTAAAGGTAACCCTTATCAAGGTTCACTAATTTGACTAATTTTATTTGAACATGACACCTGGTTTGCAGTTTTGTGCATTTTTAAATGTAGTCATGTGGAAAATTATCTTCTTCCTGGCTTTTGTACTTGTCCAATTAAACAAAAATGATTGTAATTACCATGCAGACAAAAGATAAGAGATATAAGGCAGATAAGTATGTGTTTTCTGTAAAGTAGGTATCTCTAGACATCTGCATACAACATGGTCACGGTGGAATCTGCAAACTATATAATCTTTCATATATTCAAACAGATTTGTTCCTGGCTGACTTTCATAATGTTTATCTGTCTAATAAAGAAAGAATTTTATGTTTAGAATAAAAAACAAATGAATTTTTTTTTTTTTTTTTTTTGCATTTTAAATAGATTTTAATTTTAAACAGATATTAATTTTAAATAGATTTTAATTTTAAATGATGATTGTTATTCAAATATGATGATTTAGATCCTTATCATGGAACAATATTTTAATTTAAAATTGAATAATTATTCTCATTCTTACTTAGTAAATGCCATAGGCGGATCCAGCCCCCCTTTATGAAAAGTTCTGGATCTGCCACTGAATGCAATTTGTTTAAAAAAAAAAAAAAAAGATTTAAAAAAAAATCAAATTGCTGAATTTGTGTCTATAATGACCTAAGAAGTGGCTTTATCTCTTCATTTTCAGAAAAAAAAATATAATCCATTAATCGTGATTGTTGTTGATACAATACTTTTTCCTGTTGTTACCCCATAGAAGTAAATTTAATAACACAGTAATGTCTTCAGATTATGTAACATGATGCAACCTATTTTCAACATGGAACAAGCAAATTATTGGATCAATTCATTCCTGAAGAATGTAACACATTAATTCGAATACAATACAAGTAGTTTAATCAACCTTTGATATTCACATAAAAACCTGTTGTTTGTTATTGATTTTCTCTTCTAAACCTTCATTTTATTAAAATTTTTCTTAAATTTTATATATATTGATTTTAAAAGCTGTTGTTGCCATTAACATAATTATCCATCCCCGATCTAATTGATATAGCTACATAGCTAAAAATAAATTACGATAATTTTTCTCATCTTACTACAACATATAATCTTTTCAGTTTTGATTTTTTATTAAAGAAAACTTTTTTTTCTAAGGTTATCTTGTCAGTTTCTATAGGACAAAAATTAATATTCATCAGTTGAGTGAGTAATACTGTATAGGCATGCTCTGTGTTGCTGCTGAAGTTGATGGCATACACACAGACGTGATTATTGATGACTAGGACATCGTTATAGTCAGTTGTGTTATTCATCTGGACTAACAATTTGTTGATCGGAAAAATTAATCAGTCTTGGAAAATATTTTCATTTTAATTGGAAATTGACAAATTTTGACTTTTTTTATTTGGAGCATTTGGAATTAGTTGGATAATTAGTTGTTTCTATTTCATCAATAGATTTGGAGTAATACAATTGTTATCTGTGATTGTAGATGAACTATTGGAATATTTCTATGGGACACAGATAGAAATCAGAGGATGAAATAAAAGATTTATCTGCAGATATTTGGTAAGTTCTAATTGTCAATGGATATAATTTGTTTACTGGATGATCATGTTAAATGTATACAGTCATTTTTATTGATCTAAATGTCACTGGCCATGAGGTTAGCTAATATATCACTGTCAAAGCTTTCACTAGGAAAAAAATGAAATAAAATATTAATGTTTTTTTATTCATATGAATAAAAATAGTATTGAGATTGATTACAATGTTAACAATTTTGGTCATATGAAATAGTATATGTTGTACATATGAAAGTAATATACTTGTCTCAGGATAAAAATATAATTTCCTTGGCACAGGGTTTGAAACATTTCATTAATGAAGATATTGAACTGTCTGCTCTGCATGCTTTATATTAATAATATGTACTTTAGTGATAATTATGTATCATCTCATTTAACTAAGCATGCTAAAAGAGAGAAATTATCTTACCTCTGTAAGTGTACAATGATTTAAAAAAAGGGAGGAGGGTGGTGGGGTTGGCAGAGATGAAATTTAAGGTAAAACTGTTGTTGAAGTTCAAACATTGTTACTAAAGAGGTGGAAGATTACCAAGGGGACATTCAGAACTCATAAGACAAAGGTAAACTGACAATTCCACATAAACATTTAAGACTCAGAGCCACAAGACATATGGACGGATGGACGGACGGACAGAAGGAGGTAAAACAGTATATCCCCTCTTTTTTAAAGCGGGGGTATAATAAAAAGCAAAGGAACATTGCTTGTATTGCCATTCTATAATAGAACTTAGTGGAAAACTGATTTTTCACATGTGAAAAAATTTCATTAGGGCTATGGTAGGTGGAACCATCCAAGATTCCTCCCCTTTCCCTCAAAAAATTCCAGGATCACAATCCTATACCACAACAAATTAGATTGACATAGTAAGCTAGATTATAAAGCCTACTTTGTCCTGTTGATTGTTGTCAAATGTCAAACTGCTGCCTACATGTGCCATAAACAAATACAATTCTGTAATTACTCACTTTCCCTAATCATACATAAACTGTCAAATTAAGGATATATAATGACCCTAAATGGCCACAAATTTTATTTCTACTACAAATGTAAATAACTTCCATGCAAAATTCATTGATTTTAACACAAATAACTATATTTTTTTTTCTTTAACTATCAAATCTAATAAATGTTCCATTAGCTGTCTAGAAATTGGTTTTTTCTTCTATAGTTATCAAAGAAACCTACAGGAAAAATATACTTTAGATACAAGTCCAGGATACATAAGGGCATGGATGCTATTGATATTTTGTTCGAAAATTCTCTTCTTTGTTGAGAAGACCTTTAAAACATAATGTCAACTAAAATGTTTGGTGGTCAACACTGGCAGAATTAATGGGTGGCTGTGATTTCTAATTTTTACTGTTGTTGTCCTCTTTTCTTTGATTATGACATCACTGAAGGAGACTTATCATCAATTTATCCTTACCATGAGGATAGGTGCCACTAATGGAACAGGATTGGCTTACCCTTCTGGAGCACCTGAGATCACCCCTAATCTGTTGTGGGGTTGTTTCCGACCATCTGTCAGTCTGTCCATCGGTCCCATGAATATTTTTCGTCCCATCTTTCTCAAGAACTACATCATAAGGATTTCTGAAATTTGGTTTCAGGGTTTATATAAGTCAGCTATACCGTGTGATGCGTTTTCAGATTCATCACTCAACAACTTCCTGTTTACCGAACACTTACATATATTTGCACTATTAAAATTATCCAGTTGCGGCGGGGGTATGTATCATCAGTGAGCAGTAGCTCACAGTTTTACTTGTGTTTTTTTTTTTTTGCTTTTTGTGTTTTTTGCTGTTCACATACTGATTTTGTGTTATGGATGGATACCTCATATTCTTTCTTTTCTATTATATATACCTGTTTCTATGAAATGGCTTTTATCTGGGGAATTAATACTAAATTTTGCTTATGTTTAAATATCCTGAAGATTGCTACATAGTCTAGGATTCAGCAAGAACTATGAAAACCAACATTAGGCTGTACAAATGGGTAACCAAACTTTCACGTCATGTTTCAGATTTGAGAAATTGTATGCAAGCTGTTTTTGAATATATTTTCAGTGAATGATTTCTATGGCTTTGGAAACATTTTCATGCTATGTCAAAAGTTTTTTTATCATCCAATAAGTGACTTAATAAAATTTACCTAAAATAAACTACATCTGGCTAGAGGTATAGGGGGAGGGTTGAGATCTCACAAAACATGTTTAACCCCGCCGCATTTTTGCGCCTGTACCAAGTCAGGAACCTTTGGCCTTTGTTAGTCTTGTATATTTTTTTTAATTTTGGTTCATCTATATGTTTCGGAGTTAAGTGTGACGTCCATTTTCTCTGAACTAGTACACATTTTTATTTAGGGCCCAGCTGAAGTCTGCCTCCGGGTGCAGGATTTTCTAGTTGTGTTGAAAACTCAGTGGTGGCCTTGGGCTGTTTTCTGCTCTTTGTTCGGGTTGTTGTCTCTTTGACACATTCCCTGTTTCTATTCTCAATTTTTGGTATTTAAGGTAAACATTAAAGAAATATAGATGGATGGACTTCAGAAGTGCTAAAGTGTACACTTTTTTAATGAAGAGAAACATGTTGAATATTACTTCAGCTGTTGATTTCAAAAGCTATTATACAACAGATTTTCCATCATAATTGCTAAAACTTCAACATTGTGCTATATTATGCAGATATATTGCCAATTTTACTTGTAAAAGACCCAATTAATGCAACAGGCATCATTGATTGTTATTTATAAGCAGCTGATAGGACCATCCATCTTTGAAATCCCATTGAGGCATTAAAATGTGAAGACTCTGCAACTTTCTTCAATGTTAATGAATAGTAATTAATATCAGTGATGACTGTCAATTCTTATTCAAAGAGATAAACCTCAGATGATTAAAATTCAGACAAACTCAGACATGGAGATTAACTAGTAGCATGAATCCTTGAAGAGATCACCATGACCTATATAACACGCACTCAATTATCATGACCTTAATATAACTCTCTCTTGATTACTATCATCTATCATCTACAATTATTCAGTGTAATCAAGCCTGTAATCATTTCAAAAGAACTTTATGCAATCACATGCTTTTATGATTGATAGATTGATTGACTTTTGTTATACAATCACACAAAAACTTTATAAAGAAAAAAAAACAAAAACAAAAAAACAACATGAAATTCATTATTGTTATTAAGATGGAAAAAAAACACATGATATTGTTATACTAATATAATAATTCTTAATATCCATTTCTATTTTTACAAAACGTTGTTATGTAGATAGTGTGTCACACATTTGTTTATTTACTGGATCTCTGGGTGTTACCTGTCACCTATTGGTGAAATGGAAGCAAATTATTACAGCTAAACTGACAACTTTGTCATAATTTACATAGGTGTGGTAGATGGTACTGATATTTCTACAGAAATTAATCTATTATAGCAAAAATGTTGCGTTTGATTGATTGATTATTGCTTAATGTGGCATCAGTGTACCTGTATGTATCATGGCCAGCTGCTTGCATTTGAAAAAAACTACTGTGACCAATATGAAATCATATATAAGATAACATCGGGTTACAGGGTTTTGAAGTTGTAAATAATCCTATAACCAATTAACTGCATTTGTGACTATCATTATATTATTTATTAAGATAATTGTTGCAGCTGCAACAAAAAAATAAATACATTTTTTATGACTCTACTGGATACATTGTATAGAAACATGTTGTATTCAATATTGCTATATTTTGACCTCTAGGTGGCTCTTTCCTGTGTGGTTGTGACTTGTTGCTGTCTCCTTCAGTGTACAAAATAAAACATTAAAATATTGTAGTCTTTGATAAATATGTAGACTATTCATAAGTCTGTTTAGTTTTCTTTTAGACCTTGCACCCTTTACTTTTCATATAACTGAAATTTGTAATAGACAATAGGTCTACTGTCTATGGGAAATATTTGTATGATAATCCTAATGTATATTTGATAGACATTGGTTATGATCTATTGACTGTTTGACACATTGCTATTGATATTTACTCTAGTTCTTCTTTTATTCATAATGAGCATAAAAAATTGCATCAATTATGATCTGATCATCAATTTTATCATTGCTGGTGAACACTAATGAAGTAATTTTTGCTAAAAATATTTTTTTTAATGAACTGAGCCAATATTATTGATTTATTTTCATTGGTACGATTTGTTTTTGGATAGAGGAAAAACATAATTTTTTGGATACATGATTTCATTTTCATCAATTCTTACCCCTCCCCTCTCTCCTTATCCACAAAGTAAAAAAAAAACTATACCCCATGAATAATTATGAATCATCAGTATTTGATGTTTGACAGTAAAACTCCCCCTTTTATAGTTATAGTTTGTTAGGTCATTAATAGAGTAAATAAAGAAGTTTCAGTGAACTCCACAAAGAATGTTATCTCACAAAAAGTATGATAAGATCTAATAAGGATGTTGCAGAATACAAAATTGAATATTACTGACCCATTTACTGAGAAATTGAGAGGACGGGAAATATAAAAGACTGAGGTAGTAATCCTCTGAAAAGCAAGACTATGAATTTTGGAAAATTTTGTAGTAATGACCATTTTGTACAGTACTAAGTGACCATTTGGTGAGTGTCAGGCTTTTTTGTTTTCCCTGATAACTGATTGTCATGGCATGAAGACAATGATAATGAAACATACCAATGATTCCAGTATGGTTCTTTTGTATAAAACATCTGGAAGAAAAATTCTGAAAGCATTGTCTAACTATCTGAATCTGACAGGTGAAACAATTGTTGGAACCAAACCCATAGTTGGAATTCATTACTATCCATTCATCCATTGTACACAGCTATCTCTCAGGATTACATCATTACAAACTAGATTATATAACATTAATATAAACAGTTTCTGTGGTTTCTAATCAATACAGCTGTAGTATGGGGGTGTCCTTGCAACATTCATG